TGTCTGCATCCCCGGGATGTTAGCAGAGAAGAATGACTGGGTCCCTCGCAATGCTGCTCCTTTTATATGGATTAATCAAGAAGCCGCTAGTGATAATGACATTGAACTTGAGCTCTTGAACTCCCAACTTGATGCAAAAACCAATATTGAAGTTAGCAGAGGAACCGCACTTAATCATCCAGAAAGCAAGCATCAAAAAGCTGAAAATGTTCAACAGTCATTTTCTGATTATATAGATGCACTGCCAGGCGCATTAAGCTTCAACAAGCCATCAATGAAAAATGACAAATCATCGCAAGATCTAACAAGTCCTTTGTTGACAATCAGTGAAGCACAAGAAACTGGCCGAGGAAGCAGTGGATATGTCTCGGAGAGTCAATCACTACTGTCTAGGTCTCTTATAACTCTGGAGAATCAGACTCATGCTGTTGAAGAAATACCTAAGAAAATGGGAAGGAGAGCGAAGATGCTTGATCTAGGGAAGAAGATGGGGGAGAAATTCGAAGAAAAGAGGCGGCATATTGAAGAAAAGGGAAGGAACATCGTTGACAAGATGCGAGGACCATGAAAATGCAAAACAACTAGAGGCTGTTTGGGTGAGACAAAATGGTGTCGGGTGCTTTTGTCCTCGTAGTGGAATGAAGGCATCGATAAATTCACATAGATATGCTATTTTGTAGTGCTGAAAAGTCATTGGGTACAGAGATTCATTCATGAAGAATAGGCTACAATTGACAATAAAAGAGGTGCCCGTATAGAAGAGCAACTCAAGACCTTGATTTTATGTAAATAGGACTTTGTTGTGGGAGTGACATGGCTAGTTAGAGTAGGGGGTTTTAATAATGATTTGTTTTTTTTTTCCTTTACTTTTTTTTAATTTTATTATTAAATATTAATTTTATTTTTTTATTAAGTTATTGTACACTTGTAACATGTATATAATGTATTTTATATATTAATCTAGTTTGACGTGTTAATTTAGTTAATTAATTGTTTTTTTTAATTTTTTTTAATTTTTATTATTTAATATTAAATTAATTAAAAATTATATTTTAATATTAAAAGTAGTGCATCATTTTCTTTCTAACAAAGTGATGTGTACTAATGAAAGAGGTTTGGTTTAGTTACATTGAAAGTTTTTTCTTCTCTCATTTTATAAAAAAAAAAAAAAACATGTTTGAACTTAAAAAAAACCAATTTATTTGGATTTTGATCTTTTATAAAGTTTGGATTTTTTTCAATTTTATTCTTGAAAATTTTATTAAATTTTATTTTTTTATCTAATTTGATCCTTTTTAATTTTATTGTATTTTTTATTCATATTTTTTATTCATTATTTTGATTTAAGTGCTATATTCTCATCTTTTTTTTTTAAATTGTCCCTCAATATTTAATTTCATTTGTTTTTTAATCTAGTTTTGGTCTTCATTCTTTCAATAATTGTTTTTTAATTTTTTTTAATTTCACCTCTAATTATTTTTTTATTTTTTAGTATTATATTTGGTCTGTATTATTTGGGTTTTAAATTATTTTATAATTATATATTTTACCCTTTTATTTTTTCATGGTTATCTTCCAACATAGTAGTCTTTTATTTAAGATTTAAATATATTTTTTTTAATTTATCTTTTCACATTTAGTTATTAATAGTTTCATTGTTTTTTTTTTTAAGTTATTAGGATTTCATATATCAAGTAATAAGTTAATCAAGTTAATTATAGTTGCTTTGAATTTTTTTTTTATGAAATTAATATTTTAATATTTTAACATTAAATTATTAGTTTTTAAATTATATAATTTTTTTACTTTTATTTTTTTTTTAAATTAAAGGGCTATTTTGAATATATACAGGGGAAGGCTTTGAGAATATTAAAAAAAAAAAAGAAGAGAGGAAAGAATAAGAAAAGTTAAAAACAGCCAGAGCAAAACTCGATTTTTTTTAGCACACCCGCGCTCTATAATGATCGCAGCGCCGTGAGGAACAAGAAGTCATTGTTTAAGCTGGATTTTGACCACCGAATGAATTCATACACGTAAGACAACGATAGCAGAGCATTCACGCGCGTCCAAAGCTACAGTAAATGCTCTGCATTTTTAGTTTGTTTTAAATTTAAGAATAATAATATTTAGTCATTGTTTCTACTTTCTACCAATTTTGTTACTGCTTTATGCTGCTTAATGACAAAAACTTTACATGGATGACAAATAGAGCAGACTAAGTGTGTGGCTCGACTCATTTTGATGGGCTGAAGTTCAGCTAAAGAAGATACAGAAATAACATTTTAAGTTTCTAGACCTCGTTATCCCTACTCTCTGTCGATTGCAAGAATATTCAACGACTGAAAATGTCTTGTCAAGGTGCACCCTGAAATCCTGAGATTTCTTCAATGGTTTTTTTTTTTCCCTATCATTTCGAGATCATGTAATTAGCGAGAGAGTGATTTGGGAGCAGATGAGTAAAATCACCAGAAATCCTTGCATGTGCATGTACCAGACTCAAAATGGTGGAAGCGGGAACCATCTCTCACAATAAGATGCCTACTTGTAATCTTTGAGATGAATTTTAAAGCAGAATGGCAATCAACACAAGTTCGATGATTCTTCATAATCCTTAGTGTTGAGCCTGCTTCAGTACTGATGAGACCAAATGCAATAGCTAATCTCTCACTATGAACTTTCAATGCTTCCTCCTTCTCTTCCCTTTCTAAGTCATGAATCACAGTATCTGTTTCCGGAACATATCCAGCTTCTGCAAGTTTTAAATTTATTTCCTCTAGCTTTTTGTAGATATCAATAGACTGAGTGTGTGATCGATCTCCAGCAATGAAAACGTGGACAGAACCACTGATCTCTACCTGGCTCCAACCTGGTGCTTTAACCAACCCTCTGTCAATCATCAAGCTCCTTGTTACAGCGGCCTCCTTCCACTTTCCCATGGACGTATATAAATTAGCCATTAATACATAATTACCATGGCTTCCAGGATTCATATATAACAGCTTTCTAGCTGCTAGCTCCCCCAGCTCAAGGTTGCAATGTTTCGTGCAAGCACTAAGAAATGGAGCCCAAACTTGAGCTTGTAGTTTGACAGGCATCACTCTAATGGTTTTCAAAGCCAATTCAAACTGACCAGCTCTACCGAGAAGATCCACCAAGCACATAAAATGTTCTACACTGGGTACTATTCCAAAATCCTTCTGCATGCTTTTAAAAAATGTGAGTCCATCTTCAACCAATCCAACATGGCTGCAAGCCAACAATATGCTTGTAAAAACAACAGCATCCGGCTTTATTCCTTTTATTTCTAGCATCTTGTGAAAGAGACCGAGAGCCTCTCCTGCCATCCCATGAATGGCATAACCGTTTATCATGGAACTCCAGGCAGCTAAATCCTTATCTGATATCCTCTCAAACACTGATATAGCCTTGTCTATACTTCCGCACTTGGAGAACATGTGTATCAAAGAGGTTTGTACTTGCCTATCTGACTGAAAGCCATTTGACAAAATGTACTCTTCAATCTCTTTGCCCATGTCCAACGACCCCAAGTCAGCACAAGCTGACAGGATAGTAGCCAGAGTTGCTCCATTCGGTTTGATAGCTGTCTTTAACAGCTTCTTAAAAAGAAGTAAAGCTTCAGCAGGATAACCCATGTGTGTGTACCCACCAATGATAGAGGTCCACAAGAAAACAGTTTTTACAAGTGCCATATCAAACACATTTCTAGCTGAGATGAGGTCTCCACATTTTGCGTACATGCAGAGTAGCAAGTTGTCCAGAGGATCTTTATTCTCACATCCACATTTGAATATGAGAGAATGCAGCGATGAAGCTGCCATCAAACTCCCTTGTTTTGCACAACCTTTAATGAGATTTATAAACACTACGAGGTCCGAGTTGATGGAGCTAATTGTTCTCATTCTATTGAACATGCTGAAGGCTTTATCGACATTTCCTGTATCTACGTAGCCACCAATAATTGTTGACCAAGAAACGACTGATATTTCATGCATCGAATCAAGAATAGCACGCGCTTCATGGACTTGACCATACCTGATATACATGCTCATCACAGCATTGGCTAAAGGTATGTGATCATAGGTATTTAAAAGTCCAATTTTAAATACGCAACAGTGAATAGATAAGCCTTGTCGAAGAAGAATAGGGGTGGTAGACAGAAGGCTCAGGAATGTGGTGGAGCTTAGATCCAAACCAAGAAGCCGCATTTCTCGAAGTAGTAAAATGGCTTCATGGAACAAAAAAGAACGACAATAAGCAGAGATGATGGAGTTCCAAGAGACGACAGTTCTAACAGGCATTTCATCGAACACCTTCCTTGATGAGGGCAGGTGATGGCACTTTGAGTACATGTCGAGAAGAGCAGTCTGTACAAAGACATGGGCTTGAAATCCAAGAAGGAAGGTATGGGAATGGACCTTTGTAGCGTCACGTAAGGAGTTAGTGTTGGAGCAGGCTTTGAGGACCAAGGGGAAAGTGAAGTCATTGCCATGAAGTCCAGTTCGCAGCATACAAGAATAGAGATCTAGAGTTCTGGTGAAAAGGCCAGAATTGGTGGAATCCCGGATCATCAGGTTCCATAGGTAAACTGTTCTTTTCATGTGCAATTTTTTTTTTTTGTTGGGTTACTGTCGTCGTATAAGAGACGCATGGTCTGAGAAACCTGCACCCTACCTAGTCGGCCGGCGGCGACTCGGCATCCAGTCCGGCATTTCGAGGCTCGAGAATAATGATATGAGATTGAATATTGTTTTCATTTCTAAATTCTTATAAAGCAAGAGTGAAGGGCTTCAAGCACAAGCAAAGAAATGGAAGGGGCCCATGAAATAAAATCCAAACACGCAACTAAGAGAAACACAAGGGCCTCCCTCCACAAGGCCCATAATCAATCTTTTTTGTTTTCCACATACCCTCTCAGAGGAGGAAGGATCGCCAGTTTCCACGCTCATCCAAATCAAATAACTTCTTAATTTGATGCATCAAGGACAATCTCATTGTCTATGATAGAAACTAGTAATAAAAAAACACATCAAACTAATAAATTTTAACAAAGTAAAATAAAGAAATTGATACACAACAAAAAAGTCCATGAAACGGGTCAACTATTTATTTAAACACGCAAGGCAAAGGAGCTAATACAGTGAATGCGGCTCCAATTCAACTCTTTTCCTCTTTCTCCAGCTCTTCCTTTCTTCTAGCCAGCTCTTCCATGCATTCCGATCACAGCAATGTGATCGCTACTGGGGAGTAGGACATACATTTTACAAGCGTGGGAATCCAAATCAGCTGATATCTGTCCTTTAACTGATGGCTGATTAGAGTGCTGCATGCATGTGCGATTAACAAAGTAAGTGTATGCATGTCTGTCTGTGTATACACTACTCCCTGGCTAACCTAACCTAACCTATCATTTATATATTTGTGTATAGATAATATCAATGCCATTAATAATCAAATGAATATGCTCGAATATATATATATATTATTAATGATCTCACCGCCCATAAATCTCTAGCATTGACAGTAGTCGTTGAATCAAGGCCGATGTCAGACCAGTAAGCAGTAACTGTAGCTCTTGAGGAACCTCTATTCCATAGCACCACCGCTATCTTATTATTGCTAAGAGGGCCAGCCCACACCTACCACGCATATATATGCATTTTAATTAAATCATCAACCTGTATGCTATATAAATACATGATTCATGATCACAAATCATGATCATATGTATAGTTATAACAATTATTAATATCCACACTTACAAATACAAAATTAGTATACATTACAGTACAATATTTATCACGTATTTAGCACACCTCTAAATCTCCATTATTCTTAACCTTTTTCCCCTGCACTCCAAGCTTATCTGCCCACATGCAATGCAGTACTTATTTAAAACCTTTCTTAACTAATAAAGCATATATGTGTATAACAACACGCACACACCTTGATTAACTGCAATAACTTCCCTGTTGCTTAATATTTCAAGTGTTTCATCACTCATAGTTCGAACATCACATCCAATGAGAAGAGGAGCCTGTGATTAATTAAACAAGAGATGAATGATTCATAGAAAAAATAAATATATACATCTTCAAATTAAGCTAGCGACTTAATTTATTAATTTACCTTGGCTAACGCCCATATGCTGAAATGTGAGCGATATTCCTCTGTTGTCATGCCTCCATTTCCAACTTCAAGCATGTCAGGATCTGCATGTTATACACCAACTTAATCAGCTATATACTTCGGGTTTAATACATAATGTTTATATATGAATTAAGCATTGTCACCGTTAAATCCTACAACGTGCTCCAGTTAATCCCAACCTAATAATTTAAAGTTAACCAGGATATAATTTATATTATTTTTTTAATACAATAAAAAAGCAAGGTTTCAAGAGTTTAATATAGTGAGTAGAACGTACGTACCGTTCCAACCTCCAGGTGCAGCATAAGACGCCCATTGATCGTTTTGATCTGCACGGGATGTCATGCTGCAGGTTTCAAGAAAAGGAAAATTAATACCAGCCAGGAGATTTAATTAGTATTTGTTTCCACAAGAAACTAAAGCATACTACTAATTCATGACGTACCTATCCCAGTTATCAGAAATGTCTCCTGTTGTTCTCCAACTATTTCCAACATTCGATGCCCAAGTTGCTGGGTCTTCCTGCCCCCTACGGTTGTTTTTTTAGCAAGTCAAAAAGGAGATTTTAAGGGTATTGAATGAATGTTCTTACTGCTTCTTGCTTATTAAAATAATGATCGATAAAGAAAAAGACGAAAGAGTAATATCCTTGAATGAAATCCTTACCATTCACACAGTGAAAAGAAGATGGGCCTTCCAGAATTTAACAAGGCCTTGCTCATTACTGGATATCTCTCCTTTGGGCTTGTACCATCATTGTTACAGTTGTCATACTTCAAGTAGTCCACTCCCTTCATTTTGTTTGACAAGATCAATCAAAATGTAACCTAAACCGATTATGATAAAAGAGCAACTGTATCTATACACATATGTTTACCCAGGAAGCAAACGTTTTTGCATCTTTTTCCTCGTGGCCTAATGACCCAGGCATTGTTCTACTGCAGGTCTGACTCCTAATTAATTCACAAAATAAATTCAGTAAAAAAAAAAAAAAACAGAGAACATTACATAATCTCTTAATTTATGATCGATGATAGGCGGTAACTCACGATCATGTCTGGTATCTCCTCTTTAATCAACCCTTTTTAAGAAATAATTAATAAATATATTCATAATCCTTATCTGATAATTATATGTGAAAGACAATATATATACCCAGCATCGGAGTATATTCCAAGCTTGAACCCTTTTCCATGCATATAATCTGCCAACGCTTTTATTCCCGAGGGAAACGTCGAAGCTTTTGGAACCAAGTTTCCCTGACAACAAACAAACATTTTTATTTTTATTCCCAATCCCAGAGCTGCACATGCTCCAAACATATATATATGTATATGTATTCAGAAGTGATCACAGAATTAAAGAGAGATTAGCACCTCAGAGTCCCTGTTAAGTTCAGCCCAGCAATCGTCTGCAAGAGTATATATACATGTTGGATGAATATATATTTATTTGTTCAATCTATATCAATCAGGCAGCAATCTACTAGTTAATAAAGTCACAGTTGACCGATCGATAGTCTACCTAAATTTACGTGTTCATATCCTAGAGCAGCAAGGCCAGATGAAACAATTGCATCCGCTGCCAAGACAACCAAGGAAAAATCAATTTTGGATTTTTCAGATCTTTTCTTAAGAGCCAATCATGAAATAATCAATAGTGTTCAATTACCTGTTTCCCTAATCAATTTCTCTTCAATTTTACAGTGAAAATGGTTCCAACTATTCCATCTGATCATCAACATGGGCAAGCCATTTTCAACAATTAAACAATGTTATATAGCTAGCTCATATATATATAGCAACCATCATAATTAAGAAGTGGGAAAAAGATAAAAAAAGAAGAAGAAGAAAGATAAACAATAAGAGTGAATATATGGAAAATAATTAAGTAAGATTGGTATGGGTATTGTCTAAAAACATGGTAGATATTAATACTTTTTAAAGTATTTTTCACTTTAAAATATATTTTTTTAATTACAACTACAAATTATTATTATTTGAGACTTAAATCATTTATGGTAAACCCTAATTACAACTATAAATTACTGCAACGACACAGTTCAATTGAGATCAAATACTAAATTAATTAGTACATGCATGCCGGATTGATTATGTCTAACTTTTAATTCAAAGAAAGAAATGAGATGTATGTGATATATCCTAGGAAAATAAAAAATAATAATGTTACGTTGAATATTTTTTTAAAAAATTAAACTTATTGGATCCTATATATGTAGTAAGATCACGGTCCAATAGTTTATATAATCTTCTTAAAGTTTTCTAGCTCTTGATATTTAATATTTTTTAACAGAACATTTATTGATTATATTCGGTATATAACTGAATTGATTTTCAGTTTTCTTTTCCATTATTTTTCTCTATATATGTACATATTGACCTTAAGATTAATCTAATCTTAATTGAACGGGAACAACAACTTGTAGATTTTAAAAGAAAGGACACCACTAGCTAGCTTCAAGAAGTCATACAAGTGGCGCCAGTGTGTAAACAGTCAATATAGATCATGAAAGTTGTGTATATCGATCGTTGCGTATATATACATAACAATTAATGATGATGAAAGTTATATATACTTGTGAAGAAGGAGAAGACAAAATAATAGTAATAACAATAATATTGAATTAAAGGAGATAAAAGGGCGGCAAAGAGGGAGGGAGGGAAGGGTACCCCATGGGTGGTGCGAGACCGAGTCCATTTGCAGAAAGACCCCTCATCCGAGAAAGCTGATGGTCATGACTTGAATTGGAATATTGCTTTCCCATGTTGATTGGACGACCAGCAGCATCAGCATTTGACACCAATAGCAAGAAGAAGAAGAAGAAGCATATCGATAAGGCAGCCACTCCTGATCCGAGCTTGCCCGGCATAGATTGGCTGCTAGATTGATGATAAACCACCATATTGTATAGACGCAGGTAGGAAACTGAAATTGGAATATTGTATAGACGCAGGTAGGAAACTGAAGTCAAGTCTCTATGATATCTGAAAGAGAGGAAGAGTCAGGCTGGTTCCTGGTGGAAGATATCGAAATGTATATATACACACGTGTACAGCCGGCATCGCTATATGGAATATTAATTGCGTGGTGTCGTGTTTAATTTATAGAAGGAACAAACAAAGGGATCGTTGGTCTACCACAGCTCAGCTCCACTGCGTCCGGCTATTTCATTTTTCATAAATAATAAAGATGCTAGTCTGTCTATTTTATCTTTGTACCCATAAACACCACTTCAATTCATTACTATATATTATGCAATTAATTCTGAATCCTTTTGACAAATTAATGACACGATTTCCTTGTCTGTCACTGGATCATGCACAAATATAATCGTACCACACAAACAAACATGTAGAAGAAGACAATATAGATATATCATAGCGTAGAGCGTAGGTGCAGTCTGTCTCTGAGGCGCTATATTATATGTTATTGGATTAATGGAATGTAAGGTAGATGAATGTCATAAATTATTTATTTGTTGGTATATATATTAAATAGGCGTGCCTTCATTTTTGTCCTCTTTTTTTTTTATATATAAGTGGGAGGTCTTGTGAAAATTGATAAAATTATAGAACTCAAATCTCACTAAATTTAAAAAGGAAAAAAAAACCCGATAGAAATAGAGAAAAAGACGACAGCATAAGTGGCGTGGATTTAAGGATAGGCATGCATGTCACATGAATAATCTGTGCGCTATGCGAGGGTGATCGCCGATCATGAAAGGAAAAGACAATAATATATAGCCAGCGTCGTCCCTCAAGTTGCTTTCTCAGCCATTACGTATCGGCTACGGCATTACATGATGTATATAATCTCTACTGTTTATTCCATTTATTTCAGACTACCTTCTTTCTTTGACCTCTCTTTCTTAATCGATTGACTACTAATACTACATTGACTGCTTCTTCTTCTTTTTTCCTTGCTCCCCCTATTTATGGTGCGTTGGATTTATTTTTTTCAAAAAAAAATTCCTCTATTCAAACAAAACTATATATTATATATGTTTACTTCCTTGAATATATTCCAGCGCTAGTTATAGATTCACTTCCCTTGTTGTTGACTGTCTTCACATTTTGATCCCCCAAACAAATCTGTAAATGCATAAATTCTATTTCTTTATTTTTTTAAAAAAAATAAAGTCATCTATTCTCCCCCCTCATCTTGTTTGCTCAGAAATCAGCACAATTTTCTTCTTTCTTTAGAAAGCTTAATTTGGTCCCCTCCTATCGGGTTATTAATATATAAGAAGACGAAGTGCGTGTGATGTAAATAATGGTTGATTGTGCATAGTTAGATATAAATTTGATCCAACTAGATAAAAAATTGTTTGAGAAAAGTTATGTGAATGAGTTAAAAGATACATTTATTAATTAATAAGACAAGTTTACATTAAAAGAAGACTTTATCATGTTAAACAAGAATAATAATTAAAAAAATATAACTTTTAATCTAACTATTAGATTATGTTTAAATTTTTATAGAAATTTTTAGAATTAGGATTTTTGACTAAAATAACAACAAGATGAAAATTATTATTTTAATAGTTAAATCTTTAAATTTTAAAAATATCACTGATTTTAATTATTTTTTTATTTTCCTTGTTATTTTTTGATTTAATGCTTTTTTTGGATTTTATGCTCTCTTCTTTTTTTTTTTCATTTTCAGATTTTGACTTTTGTTTTCTAGTTTGAAGTAAGATTTTGTTTATTTATTTAAGGCTTTATATAGAGAGATTTCATAATTATTATTTTATAGAAAATAAAATCTATGAACTTGATGTTCACATAAATACACCCTTTTACTTGTTAAAATATCCGTAGTTTTTTTTGTTTTGTTTTTTTTTTTTTTTTGGTTCTCTTCAGCTTTTGCTTGCATCAATACGTAGTGATGTCTTTTAATCTCCCTTCTTCTCTGACGTTACCTGAGACCACCGACCTCTGCCTCTAATTATCTTTCTACGCAAATGCAATTCAAGATAGACTCAAGGAATCATTGCATTACGAGGCCCCAAATACTACCCTAGTTCTGCTGATTCTTTTCGGGATGCAAATGGCTTCGAGGTCTTTGTGCTTTCTGATTTACACAGTACTGACTACCCAGAACATGAAATGGGTCAATTCCTTATCCATCAAGGCCTCCAAGAATTCTTCTTTCTGGTGACTTTGCTGAGACTTGCCACAACTTTCACTTCACCATGTCCCTTTTGAAGCATGGATTTCAACATGTCTTCTCTGTTCCTGGGAATCATGATCTTCGGTGTCGCTCCGAGCAAGAGGACCAACAACAAGATGCAAGCAACCTTGTTTTAATTTCCTGCTAAGCTTTCAACAATTTCACTTCATGTTTTATTCTCATTTCTTTCCTTTTGTGTAATTATACAAAACCTATGTACATAGGAATACGTACCATATTAGTTTTCCTCTTTGAATGTAACTAATTTTTTTTTTAATATATTTTCACTGTCCCACTGTGGACAGTCCTTTGTAGCAGCGTTTCACTTTCTTCGTGCGTGTGCTCTGCTACAGTTCTGCTGCTTTGAATTTTTTTTTTCTTTTCAAAGTTGTAGCAAAAAGAGAGAGAAAAACCTGCGATAAAATACAGTAAAAGAAAGTGTCTGGCACTTCTTTTATTTCCAAACATCGTTATTCATGATCTAGGGAACCCTTAACAAAAGACAAACTCTTCACAATCACGATGTTCCAGACCCAAAAGGCAGAGAAAGAGAAAAACACAGAACAAACGAAACAAGGTCAAGATAATTACTGACAATACATGAAGCAAATTTGATCAAGGAAGAGGACTAGTAATCTTCAGGAGCCAAGGGCTGATGCTGATGAGTATGGTGAGCTACTGGCTCTGCTGGAATCACAATGTACTCATATATGAGGGCTGCCAAGCCTCCTCCAAGGAAAGGACCAACCCAGTAGATCCAATGGTTCCTCCATCTCCACCCAATTAGAGCAGGCCCAAATGCTCTTGCTGGGTTCATTGATGCTCCATCAAATGGACCACCAACCAAGATGTTTGCCCCAACAACGAACCCAATTGCTAGAGGTGCAATGATCCCCAAGCTTCCCCTTTTGGGATCAATAGCTGTTGCATACACTGTGTATACCAGTCCAAATGTCAGTGCCATTTCCAATAGAAGCCCATGCACCTCTCCAACCCCTGATTGCACATGAAATCCAGTTGGTCTCTGCAGAAATCAGTAATCTGGTTATATATACATACATCACTGAGAAGAGAGGGAAACCTGTAACAGAGAAAGTGTCAAACAAAAATCAAAGAGTGCTAAGTATATATGCCATGTATCTTACCAAGCCATTGGTGACAAGCCTCAACAAGAGAGCAGCGAAAATAGAACCCAAGAGCTGAGCAACCCAATAAGAGACTGCTCGAATAACCGAGATCCGGCCACCAACAAGTGAGCCAAAGGTAACAGCAGGGTTTACATGGCCACCTGATATGTTAATGCTGGATGCCACAGCAGAAAACAGTGCCAATGCATGTGCAAGTGAGACCACCAGCAGCCCTGAAGCTGGTGGCCCAGTTCCCTTGTATAACTTATCTGCAAAAGTAACCAAGATCACTTAAACTTACGAAGTTCAAGGTGAAAGAAAAGTAAAAAGGAAAAGAAAAGAAAAGCTTCAAGGTAGGCAGAACTTGATTAGTAGAAGAGATTGAAGATGAAAGAGGATCGTGTTGGCGAGGGGATTAACAATATAAATTTTATAATACCGAGAGCAAGAATAGAGCCTTCGCCAGCAAATACAAAGATAAAAGTGGAGACCAATTCAGCCAAAGCGGCTCTCATGGCGTCAGGGCGGGTGGCCTCATCAGCCTTCCCAAATGCATATCTGCGAGGCATAGTGTGTCTTAACTTAGGTGCAATTGATAATTTTTCTTTTTTCCTTCCTTTTAGCAGTACTCGATCCTCCGCAATATGAATATGGTAGCTGTGAAAGAGCTCGACCAGTACTGTCCAAGAAAATCCTACAACGAGCTAGAAGAAGTACTGGTACTGATCAAGGCGATATCAATATAGTTTCTCTCAAGGTAAAGATGAGAAGGGAAGAGTCGGGGAGAGTGGCTGGCAAGCTAGGCAGGTGGGTTATTGCATGGACGACGAGGTGTGGGGCTGTTATAGCTCAAATCAGCCGAAGAGGAGGTGGGGCCCATATGGACATTTGGGGGATGGCAGGGAGTCCATGTTGACACGTAGGGTTGTATGTGCTCCCTCTTCACTCCAAGTGGAGCGGTTGCTTTCCTTCTCCTTCTATGAATCCCTATCTCTTCTCTTCACTTTACTTGTCATCTTACTTGCTATCCAAGTACTTAGAGAGAGGGAGAGAGAGAGAGAGAGAGAGAGGTTGCCAAAACATTTGTCGTTATCTTTCTAGATTACTTTCAATTCTTGTTTTGTATTTAATTTTCTGAAGATTTTTTTATTTTATAAAAATAAGCTTTATTTTATATAAAAAACATTTTTTAAAATTTTTATTTTTTAGCTAAATATATAATAATAAAAATATATAATTTCTTTTAAATTAAAGAATATAATTAGAACAGATCAATTAAAGAACTAGAAAAAATAAAAAAAATAAGTTAGGCACATGGACTTGATCTAGGTGGCTTTGCATGCCTAGGTTTTAAAAAAAATAAAATCTAAACCCTATGTGTTTCAGCTTCTTTTTTTTTTTTTTTATAAAAAGTGAATGATTTATAACAAATAATATATTTACTCTTATCCAATTGATAATGGGATGAGTTTTTAGGTAAAAACATTATTTGATCAATTTTTGCCAATAAACCCTTAACTAATATATTTATAATATCAAAGAATTAATTTATCAAGTTAAAGAACCTAAAAAAGATCTAAGAATACAAAATCAATTAAACTAGATAATTTTTTTCTTGAATATGTTTCTTTAGGTAATATTGATATTCAAAATAACTATCATTAAACTGCTCTCTTTAAATGAAAGTCAGCGATATTAAAATTAATTTTTTCTTTTTAAATGAAAGTCATTGATATTAAAATTAATTTTTTTAATACTTAGATTGATGTTGATAATAATTTTCTTTTTTCTCACTAGAATTTAAATCTTTCTCTCTTCTCTTTCAAACCCATAGATTTAAAGAAAATGAAATTTTGGATCAACATTTAATTTTTGAAAATTATAGAGACAATGAAGGTTGAAAAGATAAAATAGAAGGGTAAAAGTTAATTTTTGAATCAAATTTTAGATTGGTAATAAAATTTCTTTGTGATTTACACTTTGATCCCTAATTTCTAATTAGCCCCAAACTTAACACAGTTTAACAAATTATACCTCAACTTGTGCATAGAATGACGCAATCCGAAAAAAAAAAAACTTGGATGATGAAAAGGAAAAGTGTTAAAGTAAATGTCCTGCTAGGCTTTTAGTATTTTCTTAGATACGTGCCCCCGCTCCGCAGCGGTTTTTTTTTTTTTTTTTTTTCCAATCATTGTGGCGAAGGTGGTTAAAACCTGTGCTAGATCATCGAGAAGAAGACAAACTTTAACAGCAAACAATTATAAGGGAAATTATTCTAATGCGTAAGTAGTGGCATAGATAGTCAGGTCTTAAAATGCAGAGGTGGTAACACACAATCATGAAATCGTCTGTGAAATCCAAATAACAACCGAAGCTTGACCAAGGCAAGCGTTTTTTTTTTTTTTTTCAACGACAAAAAAATTGCAGAGAAAGCAGGATCTATCCAGGAAACATTAAAACATCTCCATGGAAAGGCAAAAGAGTTGAAAAAAACATCTTGTCAGGAAGCGCCAAAATCCTAGCAGCTCTTGGGACGAAGCATGTCAACAGGTGTCCTGCAGAATTGTTTATTGTAATCAATATGGATGGTTTTAATTAAAATGTAGCTCATAGCAATAAGTAGCAGCAAGGTAAGGTAGAAAACTAAGCAGGAACCATGTTAAACAGCAATTTGAAAGCAAGTCAGAACAGCCAGCAAATTAAAGCATACGAAAAACATAAGAGTAATCAGGATATAATGAATGGAGGAAGAAGGGGGAAAAAAAGCTAGCTAGATTGTGGATTATTTTTTGACAGTGCATTCTGCAGCCAAGATGGCTGAGGCCTGAGGTTGTCTCAAAAAACCCTGCAAGTTCTGGGTGTCCTTTTCATTTTGATAGTGCATTCTGTTCTCAAAAAAGAACAGCCAAACATTCAAATGTTGTGTTAAACATGACCAAAGAGAGAAAGCGGAAGAAGGTCAAATGCATGGTAAGCAAAAGATGCCTAAAGATTATTACGAACCATTTTAAAAACTTGAAGATCAGACCAGAACCACCCAAAACGACAGATAACAGCCTCCAATGTCCTGCAGATTTTTTTTTTTTTGCCATTAAAAATATGTGAGTAGATGCAAAACAAATTAACCTTCAAGTGGGATGGTGTCGTTGTGCGTCCCTTCTTGGCATGGGTTGGCGAATCACCGTGGTGCTGCATATGAGGCACATTGTTTGTTGCTGGTGCAGTTGTTAAGATTGCTTGTGCTTTCGGGCTCAACCTGTAACATTGGAAGCAAGAAAAGATGAGGAGGAAGACATATATGCACTTTTTTATTTTTTTCTTACCAGATTAAGGGTCAAAACAGCCAAAAGCCAAGGAAGAAAAGACTTGCAGGAGTGAAAAGAGCAAAATGGATGTTAATGAAAAATGGTTTATTTATCTTGTTAACAAAAAATCTAGCGAGTGCATAGCAATTGGAACACAGCTTGGATTGTTAAGATAATTGAAAACAGATTAACCGAATAGCTGATAAACTGGAAAAGAATGCCAGTGGGAGCTATGCAAGGACTGTTGTGTACCTGGGGTGATCACTCTCATCATGGAAATCAATTCTCCTTTTTGTCCCAGTTAGATTGGCTTTATCGACTTCCTGATGAGCATCTGAAGAAGTTAGCTGGGACGAAACTGAAGAGGTCGCAGGGAGGGCTGGAATGGTAGTTGGAGTAGGCTGGGTGAAAGAACTGGATGCAGTAGCCTCCGAGAACGATGGAGTTATGTTTGAGGCAGGTTGTGACTGGACGCACATTGCAGGGGTGGCAGGAGGCTCATTGTCATCAAAAACATTTGCGACCACAATCTCGCATCGATTTAAAGCAGGTCTAAAAGCTCTAAAGTGAAGTTGGTGTTAGGACATTCAAGCTTTCAAAACACACATCAATTTATGTGGTTCGGCAATTTGCCTACTCCACGAAGCTACTGGTTTGTATTAATCAAGCTCAAAAGTAATACAAACAACAAAACAAGGAGGAGGAGAAAAACTTCTCTACTTAACTCAACTCTCACTCTAAGCTCTCTCTGTGTTTTTCTCTATTTCGTGGGTAATCATCAGCTATCAATAACACTCTCTATTTATAGCTGATGTGGGAGACAAGCTTCTTCCTTTAATCAACAATGGTGAGCAACAATTTCTTTGGTTAGGCACCCACCATGCAACCACCATTGACTCTAGCCATGTCAAACATCTGTATGTGCTTTGTTCTGGAGTGAAATGCTGGATTCTTGGCAAGGAAGATTGCACTCTGACTGTCACTATACAAAGTACCCTTTCCATGCATCTTGCCCAATTCTTGCAGGAAACTCTGTAGCCATACTATCTCTTTTGCGGATTCTGAAACTGCGACATATTCAGCTTCTGTTGTTGAAAGAGCAACTATCTTTTGCAAGGTAGAACTCCAAGAAACAGCAGTGCCTCCTAGAGTGTATATATAACCTGTAGTACTCTTTCTGCTATCAACATCTCCTGCTAGATCAGCATCTACAAAGCCTTCAAGTTTCAAACCGCCAGCTGTGAAAATAAGACATGTCTCCGATGAGCCTTTTAAGTACCTCATGATCCATTTCACTGCCTCTCAGTGCTGCTTTCCAGGATTGCTCATATATCGGCTTACAACTCCCACTGCATGGGCAATATCTGGTCTAGTACAGACCATGGCATACATCAAGGAGCCGATAGCTGAGGCGTATGGGATCTGGTCCATGTATCCACGTTCTAGCTCAGTTTTTGGTGACTGGTCTTTACTGAGCTTGAAATGATTCCCCAGAGGTGTACATACTGGCTTAGCATTATCCATATAGAATCTGCTGAGAACCTTCTTGACATACTCTGTCTGTGAAAGCTTTAGCATGCCTTTGTCTTTGTCTCTGATGATTCTCATGCCAAGTATTTGTTTAGCAGCTCCCAGATCCTTCATTTCAAACTGTTTTGACAACTGTTGCTTTAGCTTGTCAATCTCTTCCATGCTGGAACCTGCAATTAACATATCATCCACAT